CCGTGGTGAGAATTGAAATTTGATTTATGTTTCGCTGTGCATGATTAAGTAGATTCCCAACACTTTCTAAGTTAATCAAGATTCAGCATATCTTCCAAGCAGTTTCCCATCTCAGTAACTGAAAAGCTTGCAGAGTTTAAATCTCAGGCTGATGGAATATTTCAACAGAAATTTCACCCGAAAGTGAAAGAAGAATGTGAAACGTGCTGGCAGGGGTGGGGTCAAGGGTGGACGCGGCACGAAACACGTTTAAGAAAAAATAGTTGGCTAATGTAAATTCTCATTTATATAAATGGAAGTGAAAATACATTCCATGTTTAATTAATAGTTTAGTGAACCATCGAAAACGTTTTTTAAAATATAGTGAGTAGTCGAAGACCTTTTTCAAAGTATAGTGAGCAATTCAAGACAATTTCTAAAGTATGGTGAGCAATGTAAGATGCTCTTTACGTGGTAACGGTTACGTGGTGCCATATGGACATTCTGTTATGCACGTCAACACTTCCGTTATGTATAATATTATTTTATTAAAAGGCCCCGTTCGGGAGGGATTAAAACCCAATTAAAATTGAAAATATGGCCGTTATTCGGTTCCACTCGTCTAATAAAAGTCAACAATAATGGTTATATTTTCAATTTTAATCCGATTTTAATATCTCCCATACAAGGCCAAAATGTGTGGTTGAAAAGAAGAGAAAGAAAAATGTATTTTGAAAAAAATTAGGAATCAAGGGCTAAATGAGCACAACGGAGAATGTGCACAAAAAGTTGGACTTAGACGCCATGGATTAATTTAAAGGATTTCCTTTTGAATTATAGGGGTTTATGACGGGAAAGGTTCCTTTTTTGAAGTAAAGTTCTCATATTTTCATTTGCGAATTTAATTAATTCCCTTAGAAATTAGGTATAATCAATTCTTACCAAACTATGAACTTGACTTTCGATATATTGGTCATTAAAGATACCATTTAAAATCAGTGGCGAGATCAATTGCATTCACAAATAGAATCAATTTATCAAGATTATTTTAATCGGGCAACTAGGGTATAAAACTGGCCAAGGCAGGCCTTCATGGCTTATACCAACTTCTATAGTTAGTAATTGACAGTTTTTATCAGTGTTCAAAATGGTGCGCATGTTTGGCGAAAATACCACGCCTGGGGCCTGAGCGTAGGGCCGACCCTAGGGTCAAGTCACCAAGTCAAAAGCCTAGGGCTTCGAAATTGTATACTTGGGCCTAGGGCCTCCAAATTTTGAAGGGTTCCCAACAAAAAAAGGGTTGAATTTGGGGAATATGAATGCCTAGGAAGTGGTTTGTGATGTAACGCTCCGAGTTCCGTGAACCTGGATTGTCACGTCATATTCTTTTGTAAACGATTTAATTAATAAGATTTGCAGAAAATAATTAAAATTCAAACTTCGCATTTATAACGGTAAAAAACCTCGAAAACAATAAAACTCATTTAATTAACTTAAGGAATTTGATTA